AAACAAAAAAGTAACTTCGATTTTAATAGTAAAAATTGACATGTTTCACAAAAATTTTACATAGCTATGACAGTAGACATGTCAATCGCGTGAAATCCTGTCTGACTGATATAATTTTTTTTTGTTTTAGTATTTTGAAGTTGACAAATTGTTACTATAAGCAATTAATGATTATAGATGATCTGCACCGTACCATATAAGTAGAATATTGGATGAAGAGATTGCTAGATTTAAATGCTTTAAAAGTTATACAATTAATGACAGTTCATTAGATTTTGACTTTCTTGGTTAACAAAGGCGAATAAAAATTCTATATTAATTCATTGGAGATTACTATCCATTAATTATTACTAACAATTTGATTGATTAATTCTAGTAATTAAAAGAAAGAATTGTTGTGACTAATTTAATCTCCACTATAATTATTCATTATAATTATTTATATTTTTATTTTATTTTTCTAAATTTTAATAATATTTCTTATAATAAACTTTTTGCAGTTTTCTGATTCTTGTTAAATGGTGATATTTCAAGGTAGTTTTTTGGTTAATGCTGATTACAGCTAACTTTTGGGCTATTTTTGTCAGTTAATTGCAAGCAACTCACAATAATTTGATGCTTATCAATTAATTAATTTACAAATTTACTTTGGTCATCACTTACTGCTTCTTTCTTGTATGTGAATCTGTAAGCATATTTGATTAAAGCTCCAAATGAGCTGAGCCAAGTTTATGCTTAGCTTGAGCTTGACTCGACTTGAATCAAGGTTGGGTGATGAAAATATTTTTTCAAAGGTACACCTGACTAAATGTGACAATGTGGTAAAATATGACAAAAATGATGAAAATGACAAAGGGCAAAAGTCAAAAGTCAAAATCAATTGAATTTTTTCTTTGGTCAATTTGGTCAATTAGAACCATGCTTTCATAAAAGTTTGATAAAAGAGCTTGAGCATATTGTTTTTGTTTATTTCATTATTTTGTTGATTGTTAATTTCATCCAAATAAAAACAAGCAATAGAATAATGACATCCAGGGCTAAATGAGCCTTGAATTTTTATGATTCCAGGTTTTTGGACAAGATTTGCAAGATGCTGAGTAATGTTCTTTTACTTTTTTCATGCATCAGTCACAGGACATCTTGGAGCCAATTCTGAAATGACTTTTCCTAAATTTAATGTTTATAAATTCATATTATATGATGAAAATTGAGAAGGAATTGGTGAATTAGAATTTGACATCATGAAAATTTTTTTTAATTACACCTTTAAAATCCATACAATAATTGTATATTTTATTGTCGTTTTTGTCAAATTCCTCAAAGTGTACTTTCATCATGTGATGAAAAGGAAACATTCTTGATTTAAATATGCGAGTTTGAAACTCGAGCCCTCGAGTCAACTCGAAATTTATTATTTTTTTTTTTATAAAATTATGAACATTTCTAATAAAATTTTTTTTTAGATTCGTTATACCAAAATTACCAATCACATTTATCCCTTCGATATTCTCGCAGGAAAATTTGCCTGCGAACTTTTCGAAATCACATTACCTCAAGTAAAAATACTTTAATTTTAGTTTGTGCACCAGAATTTTTTGATTTTCTTATTTCTTGCCTTTTTGGAAATTTTTAAACTTAGTTTTAAATCATCTGACCATAATGACATCATGACAAATCCTTGTGATGGTGAAAAGAAAAAGTAAAAAACCCTTTTGCTGATCATTTTTCTGAAGAATAATTTTTTAAAAAAAAAAAAAATTTTTATAAAAAATGAATGCAGTCTCATTTTCTATAAAAAGGAATTTTTTTTCAAAAAAATGTTCCCTTATTTTTTTTAATCCTAATTAATGAATTTTTCTTTCTGGACATGTCTCTTGCTAATGAAAATTCAATACAATGTGAGGATGATGATGATTTTTTCACCTGTCGGGTTATTCATGAAGAACGGTTAAATGATTTTTTAGTAGAACCTGATTTTTTTTTGGATGATTTAGAACCAGTAAAAAAAAAAAAATTTGACTAGTGAAAAAAATGATAAAAAAGCCAAAGGCAAAGTCAAAAGCAAAGATAAAGATAAAGATAAAAACTATATTTCTTCAGAGGATTTCATACCATTTCAACATAAATACTCTTTACATACAGCTAAAGCTCCGAACGGTTCGGTTCAAACCGAAAAATTTCGGTTCGGTTTCGGTTCGGTTTGGTTTCGGTTTATAAAAAGTCAAACCGAAAAATTTCGGTTCGGTTCGGTTTGGTTTCGGTTTACTCTTTGAACCGAACCGAAACCAAACCGAACCGAACCGAACTTTTTCGGTTTGGCTGGATCTTCATATTTATATTATGAAAAGTTTCGTTAATAGAAGATGTTTGTTATACATGCAGATCTTGTTAAACCAAAGTCACAAAAAAAATCTTCAGTTTTAAAAAACTTAATAAAATCGGCTTATAGAGATGATTTTTAATAAGTAGATAATAAAAAAACATTGGTTTGTTATCATGTGTATTTCTGTATTTATTTTCAGAGAGAAAAATTAATTATAAAAAATATAAAAAAAGAATCGGGGAAGTGCATTATTATTATAGAAAGATATACGTTATAGAGATATTGTATATAAATTCCTTATTTGGTTTATCAAAAAAAAATGTGCGCGCGCGTGTGAAAATTTTTTT